GGCCAGTTGAAAGGTCAAAGTTCAAAGGTCGGGTCAAAGTTCGGAGGTCAGGTCAAAGTTCGAAGGTCGGGTCAAAGTTGGAAGGTTGGGTCAAAGTTCAAAGGTCAAGTCAAGGGTGAGACCAAGGTTCATATAGGTTGACATGCACAGACAAAATAAACTGAAAACACAAAGGTATTTTCTTAGTCTTGCTTTTTTTATTGCACGCCTCTGGATATATGTTCAGTAAGAGCGCCCTCTATTGGAGGCAGCATTAAAGAGCAATTTCTTCAACCACCAAGGGTGTTCCAATGGTGGTGAATTGGAAGGTGCAGTGTGTGTGTGTGTTCTAAAAATACACTATTCCCAAAAGATCAGTGCATCTGCTGTCTATTTCACGTTTTCTGAGGTGCACCATTGACTGCTTATTGTCCACTTCAGGCCAATTGTTAAATAACTTGCCTTTTTCATAAAGCTTGTCCATAAAAAAAGTAATAGAATGTATGCAGTGTCATAAGTTGTTTGCAAATCCTTTTTTCAAAAGCCTCCCCAACTGCGAAACCCTGAAATAGACAGCAGATGTTTAAAATAAGAACAAAACAGCAAAAACCCTTTTTATTTATCAAAGCAATTACATCAAAACGAGCACATGGACACTAGCACATCAAATGATACATACATAAAAGCTTTGGCATAAATATGTGTTTTGGGTGCAGATTTGCACATCTCAATACAAACATGAAACAAATTCAACACTTTCTTTCTTAGAGGAGCAATTCAAAGATAATACATATGATCATATGATGTACTAGTGTGCATTATATGTGAACGATTTGAAATATGAATTTAAGTAAATCTTGACATAAAAAAGTGAACAGAAAGGATTTCTTAGCTTATTTACATCAAATTAATACGATGAAACCAGGCACATACTCGCAAACACCTCAGTCAGTAGATCAAATGGCAGTGTTAAAATACAATGATAAAGTACATGTAACAAGTGAGAAAGCACTGAACTTTGTAAAAAGGACTATTTCTGTGGATTGTATTACAAAAAGAACAAACCTTAAACAGAAGGACCACAATACTTTTTCTATCAAACTACTGCAGTACATAATTAGTTGCTCAAAAAGCTTCATGACATATATCTTGCATTTTGCACAAGTGAAACTAGGTTAATGATAACACATGTACAGTCTTCGCAAACTGTCACGAAGCAGGATACCAAGAACTGTTGACTTTTTCCACTAATGGTTGACAACAGCACTCACTGATGGACTTTACTGTGAGTTATAAATGACAATAAGAATGAAATACATGTACTTTGCATGTCTACGTATAGCCTGAGTACAATTTCCACATTAATGTTTTTAAAAACAATTGGAGCTGTGACTAAATATGTTTTTATATAAGTGAACTACACAGCTAAGCTGACGTTTCAAACTAATTCCAATGAGGCTTGATTTTGGGTTTGGTATACTACATGTATGTGCCTGGTTTTAATACAACTGAGCAACCTAACGGCAGTTGTCATAAATAACCCAGTTAACTCAAGAAGGTCAAAGTGTTTTGTTTTTAAAACGAATTCTTTAACGAATGGTTTGAAAATATTACAAAAAACTACAATCAGCACAATGTGATTTGGCGTCAAACATTAGTTGACATTCTCTGTCTTTACTGGGGCAGTATTTATCACTATGCATTTTTTGGTCCTCCAAATGCCAATTTCCAAGAGACGAGTCCATCCAGTCATGAAAAATGCCAACACATTGACATCAGGTAGTGACATCAGGAATGGAAGATTAATCTGTAGTTTATGATGTCCACCTGAGGTTCAGAGAAGTTCAGTTGATCAACGGCATGCTTGTTAAGTAGCTCTTGAAGGTTTGCTCTTGAAGGTTTGCATCCAGTCCATGCTTTGCATGCTTGTTGGAAAAAAAAAAAGGAAAATAAAACTAAATTGGCTTTACAGTTAATTCGTAATGAAATGGCAGGGTACAGGATATTGGACTGGTATTTTACCTTCACTTTGCAATAAAATATGAGTGACCACAGATCTATTTGTAAATGGCTCATGACCATAGATCTATTATTCATGAGCGGCACTTTCATTGGAGATAACCAGCTCGGACATGCACTGTAGTTCAGCTAAAACTAACAAATTGAAAAGAAATATCCGAAGGCTCAAAATGCTGGTGTCTTCAATACATCATGTATATCACAACTCATCTCCAAGGTGGCAAAGTATTTGAGTGAACCTTCCAGTGCAAATTTGATTCATTGAAACTTCACTTCCAATTTCAAGGCTTTAAAAGTACCAGATCTTCCTGTACCCTGCCTTACAAAAATAAACACTTGTTTCTGCCATTTCCAATTCTTCATTAAGTTAGACCAAGAGAATACACTGAAAAAACTCCCACGACAAGTAATCAGCATACAAATCAGTCTGATTCCGCTAAGCAATTAGCCATCAAACCATCTAACAAACATTGTGGTTACCCACTGTTTTTTTTAAACAAATGGAAAAGATGAAACTGAAAAAATACGGTAAAGTCATCTTCACAAATAGGAAGTTGGGAGAGCAAAACCCCATCAAACCTTAGGGATGAGATTGGAAGATGAGGAGAAATCTATCCTTGAATGGCTTTAAGGACCCCACTGCTGGCAAGTAAGCGTTGAAGGAATTTGGCAACTTGTGAAATTGGAACAAAAGGCCCTATCAGCTAGGTGCATTAACTGTAAAGTCAGCCAGTCAACAAAACAATGAAATTCAATGCTGCACAGGACTTGACAGTGATCTCCCACTCTAATGGTGCACATGAAGAGCAGGACGAAAACTGGCGCATCTGCAGAAGAGTTGTACACCTGCATCATGCTGTGATTTTTCTTGGGATGATTTAATTATTCCAGGCCAACAACAATTAAGCAAATCAACTCTTCGGTTGTATTCACTCCGCTTATTGGTGAAAGGAGCCTTGAAAAATTTTCAAGCGTTAGTTCAACTTCATCACGATGATCCACCTTTTAGGATAAAGATTTCTTTTGACTTAAATATTTAATTAGAAAAACATTCCTAAGAGTTAGGGAACTCAGCAGTAGGAACTGTCGCCATCTGATATTAACAAGTTGACAAAGATTTTTCCTGATGTGATGGATTTGCCCTTCCAAATACATGTACATGCAGTCCACACTGAATTAGACAGCTGTCCATGTACATGTGTATCTTGGATAAAAGTAGAAATCTCAAGCAACATGCTTGTCATCCGAACTTCAAATGGCATCTTCAATGACTTGTGTAGTCTTCGCTCCTCGTTCATGCATGTAAAAATAATACAAAATCTGAATTAGCCTCTTGAATGAGATGTGCTACAGGCAGGGTACAGGGTAAGTCTTCCCATCAATGTAATTAGGGTGGCCACAGTTTCGTTGTCCGCATTTCAAAGTACGGCAAATGAATTATCTCCCAGTTTTATTGTTTGATATGGCCAGGGCTGGATGAAACCATGTCTAACTCAGCATGATTCTGTGTGATTTACACTACATCGGCAGTGTTACATGTAGGTTAAGGTTGTAGAACGCTCCCCAGCATATGGGGGAGAGGTCAAATGAAACCTCAGTGGCTCAATGTGGAGTTACAATGCGCCTTTCTCTTCCTTTTGTTTGGGGGGGGGTGGGTCCACTGTTTGCAACCACTGAATCAGGTGATGCTGTGTCATATCCTCAATCTATGTATTTGGGTGTGGTTCACACACGAGGCCAGCTTTTCCCTTTCAGTACACTTGTCTGTGATTCTGTGACTGCAAGGAACTAAATATCAGTTGGTAGACTTTGTTACAAACTCCATCTCAGATGTCATGTTTCAAACATATGTGGCAATCAAAATGCTCAATTTTGTATTTAACAAATTCCTGAGATGGGTCTTTTGAATTGAGTGACCATTACTCAGTACTCATCCTGTATCCTGCCATTTTCAATTGCGCAATTGCAAATATTATATATAAAAAAACAGGTACTTACATAGCACTTTTAGAAAGGAAAAAGAACTTTAAAATAAGAAGACAAAAGTAACAGATTAATAAATACTTTGGAAAAGTACAGATTACTAAGGGAGATTACTAAGGGAGATTACTAAGAGAGAACAAGTAAGTTTGAGAGATTTTTCAGAAGTCTGCATTCATGTTGAGTCTCGTAGGTAGCATGAGGCTCCGTTGAGAATATGACAAGCACAATTGCTGTGTTCTTGCAAATGGCTCACATGTCGTGATTTAATATTTTGGCATGTGGTTGGTCAGCTTAAACTTGAAGTAGAGTGAAACGTCTCTTGTGGAGATGGTTGTCATAGACAGTCATTGACACAGCTCAGAACTGCTTCCTCTAACACCTTGAAGAGAAAAGGAATGTGAAATGTGACCCGCTCTGTGAAAAAGTAGAATAAGTCGCGCTATGCTTAAATGAGGAACGGGGTGTTCTATGTGGAGGGGGTGAAAATTCTTCTAAGTATACATTTGTTTTTTTCCATGATTTCATTTCTTAAATATGTATAAACTTGTAAAAACCATATTGTAAATGTTTGATTTTAGACAATACAGATGAGAAATCAGTGTGTTTGTGTTGACTGTTTCTTTCTTAGTTCAGTTTCAATCTCTTGTTTTTGGAAACTTGGCCCCTGCAAATGCTTAGTGTTTGAAATAATTACTTAATACCCTTTTGAGAATTTGGTATCGTCTGAAAGTTTTGAGTCTGGGCTTTCCAAATTTGGGCATTACAAAGGTAAGGGGTCAAATGTAAATTAGAAAAGAAACCTTGGAAAACAATTTCCATTGAAAGCTGAATGCAACATGTCTGGCACCTTACGTTGACAGATAAGGTCCAATATGAGGATGTACAATTTATCTGCTCTACACATCGGCCAATCTTCCAGATGCCCTGAAACAGGAACGGTGTCAGCTCCAGCAAGCCCACCTGACAAAAGTTGCTGAAGAGAGAGGCTACTACCGCACCCTTGTGCAGCAGGCCAGGGAAAGGGCAAAGCTACAAGGCATCAGCCACCGTGGGAGGAATGATGCTTGCTCCAGGTTAGGGGTAATGCATTATTCCTTTGAGTATGCCCAGCAGGTGCACTTTCCAGCAGACCCACACCAGCCAGGACTCATGTACATGTACATGTACTTTCCAACACCCAGGAAACTTGGCATCTTTGGTGTACAAGAAGGTGTGACACCACAAGTGAACTATCTGATCGATGAAGGGATGGCGATACGTGAAGGGAGCAATTTGGTCAGCAGTTACCTCCACAGAATACTAAGAAGTATACAGAATACTAAGAACAACACACACAAAGTCCAGCATTTGTGTGTCATTCACAAGTGTGACCCCTGACCTGAACTATCACTGGACCAGATTAGCTCCTGGGCAAACAACCTCCTATCATTGGCTTTTACAATCGGTTTGGTAATCCAAAGCCAAAAACCCTTTCTCATTTCTTGGTCCTCAACCAAATCATCTCCAACCAGAAATGCATACTGTACCTACAAGACGACAGGCTGTGCTCACATTTTGACTGATCCATCTTGAGAAATCAAACCATCGTATCTTTTTACAATCATTTCAGAGGAGTTTTATCCTTACAAATACCAAGGTATGGTCACTTCAGAAATATGACTTAAGACAACCACTTTCTGTCATGTACAACACAATAAATAACCTTTGGAATTACAATACATGTATCAAAAAAAAAAACCCAAGAGTGACGAACATTCTAATCATGGTTCAGCATCATCAAATGATCACCATGTCTGCTTGCTGCCAATCAATGAGGACAAATCCTGAATTCTATTGTACCTTTACACAACTATCAATTTATGCATCGATGCATGCAATCTTGTAAGGTTAAGCCATCAGTTCTACAATAACAGACAAAGTGTTTCAAAACTGTAGGCAATATTCTTTACAGACCATATCTTGTTACACTAGCAGGTTCATCTTTTTACACCTTCAGAATCTGCTAAGGGTGATTCTATAAATTTGGGGTCCAATTTTTTTATGTGTTCCTGTCACCTGTGAGATACGATTTTTAAAAAATACTAATGCATCCTTGAATTTCCAAGAGTGATTAAGTAATGCAAATTACTTGCCAAAAATCAATTTTAATGATACATTGTATTTCCACATCAAATTACACAGGTCAGGTGTAATTAGGAACACAAAATGTCACACTTACAGGTACATGTATGGGCCCAAACTTATAAAATGACCCTAACATGCCTAGTGTCCAGATGCATGCAAATCAACAGAGTCATCAGCTCACATATTAAATGTTTGAGTTCAATTTAAATATCATCCCATCAATGCCCATGACTGTTTATGTATACGTTTGTAAGTTATTTTCATTTATACCCATAATTCCCATCCCTTCAAAAGCCTGTACCCTCAACCTATTCATACAAATCATTTCAGATGTGCCCCATGTCTCTGTTAAGATGCAAGTTCCAGCAGAGTGACAAATTCCGCTATGTTGTAAATGCCAAACTGGAATATACATGTAAATTCACACAATTTCTCAACTGTCCAGAGGTTGCTTCTTTGCTCCAAAAATCTCAAAACTCTCATACCGGCAGTTAAGTTTAATTACTTTATAAATGAATGTGGCAGCATTCAACCAGGGGATTTAACATTTCGACTCTTGTATCAAATAAAACCCTGTAACTTAAGGCATTGCACAATCTTGTTCAATCAAGACCGGTTGGTGTTAAACAGAGTTTGGGTGGGAAAAGCCAATCTCCGTCAGCAAGAGCTGACACCCTGATGTTAGGCCATTCCAAGGAGATGGTCTTCCAACCTGCTGGTCAGTAAATATTCAAACTGGTGATAAACATGGCCAACCACTAAGCAACTTGGTCAACTTTTTAAAAACAAGAATCCTTGT